TGCATTTCATTGGTCCGAAACATTTCTGTATCATGGTTAAAGCATCTGTTGGCTTCTGACAAGATGTATTTTCGGGTCTTTGCGAATTCACAAATCTCCCAAAAATCCATCTTGCTTACAATCTAACTAAGCTTCAACTCCAAACTTGAATTAATAGATGTGTTTTTTTCTGGCTGCCTAGGTTTGAACAATTGACATTACTGTACATTACATTACAATAGCAATTTTAAATGTTTGTTGCTTTGGGCCTAAAACCTCTACTTTTGCAAATGTCTATTATTGGGTGAATTAACAGGGCTGCATGGTAGAGCAGTTAGTTGCACTGTTGCCTTTCAGAAAGAAGGTCCTGGGTTGATACCTAGCCTAAGGTCTGTCTGCATGTCTGTGGTTCTCTCTTGGTACTCCGGCTTCCTCTTTAGAGTCAGCTATAGGCATGTTCCAAATGGATTAGACCTGCCTTTTAATAAATGCAATCCTTTTTTTAAATTTAATAGAGAGCAGCATAACCTGGAAGATGTGAGGTACATGATTCACAGTAATGAAAACATGCGCCAGAAGGGCTGATAAATTGTAAGCCACAATTTCAAGGCATAAGATAACATTAAATATACATTATTTACAAATGCTACTCAACAAGCCGCTTCAGGCAAATACAAGCCAAATATGAATAATATTCTATTAGCAGTATAGGACATTATTCATTACTAATGGAGGCTGAGGCAGAAACTAGAAAATATTTTTGAAGCCTGAAAAAAGGAAAAAACAATGTATGCGCATGATTATTGATGTTTAGATGTTTATTTGTCAGAATATGTGACTGAAATATATATTTTAAAATGTGCTCATCATCTTCCTTGTTTTTTCAAGCTCTCTCTCTCTACTCTATCTCTCTCTATCTCTGTGGATGAGCATATTGCAGCTGTATACAGTGAAATGACTTTAATAAATGAGGTATTAAGGGGCTCCCAGAAAAAATTTAATGAAATAATAGGTACTCTGTTCTTTTTTAGTAAGAACAAAGATAACCCAAATGAATGAGAAAATATCACGACTGAGCTATTTTTACTATTTACAAGATAAACTAATCTCAAATTGTAGTCACAGGCTATAGGCTGATAAATTGATAAGATGTCTTCAAGAACATCTTACCTAAAGTAGCCTGAACCGTAACAGGTCCACTTTAAAAATTATTATTGACAAAAGATAGGTTATGGGATTAAAGATAGCTGGATGACTAAAATAAAAAAGGGCCACTGATAATGAATCCATCCATCAATCATCTTCTGCTTATCCGGGGTCGGGTAGTGGGGGTAGGGGCTTCAGTAGGGAGGCCCAGACGTCCTTCTCCCCAGCCACTTGGGCCAGCTCCTACGGGGGAATCCCAAGGTGTTCCCAGTCCAGCCGAGAAACATAGTTCCTCCAGTGTGTCCTGGGTCTCCCCCTGGGCCTCCTCCTGGTGGGACGTGCCTGGAAGACCTCACCAGGGAGACGTACAGGAGGCATCCTAACCAGATGCCCAAGCCACCTCAACTGGCTCCTCTCCATGTGAAGGAGCAGCGGCTCTACTCTGATTCCTCCCCGGATGACTGAGCTCCTCATCCTATCTCTAAGGTAGAGCCCAGACACACTGTGGAGAAAACTCATTACGGCCGCTTGTATCCGGGATCTCATTCGTCATGACCCAAAGCTCATGACCATGGATGAGGGTAGGAACATAGATAAGACTGGTAAATCGAGAGCTTTGCTTCTTGGCTCAGCTCTCTCTTCACCACAACAGACCTGTACGGTGCTCATTTTACAGCAGACACCGCACCAATCCACCTATAGATCTCCATCTTCCCCAATGTCAACGTCCCTGGCCCTCGACTGCCACCCCTCACATATTTCACCCGACCCCTTTGGGCCTTTTCGACAGGTGGTGAGCCCACTGGAAGGGGGACCCATGTTTCCTCTGCAGGCTGTGCTCGGCCGGGCTCCATCGGTAAAAGTCCCTCCACCAGGCGTTTTTGCCCCATCTTCAGGCCTGGCTCCAGAGTGGGTGACCCGCGTCCGGGTGAGGGAACACTAGGTCCATTTATTTTATTCGTCATAAGAGGTCTTTGGGCTGCTTTTTGTCTGGTCCCTCACCTGGGACCTGTCTGCTTTGGGTGACCCTACTAGGGGCATAAAGCCCCCAGACAGCATAGCTCCTAAGGTCATTTGGACACTCAAAGCCCTCCACCACCATAAGGTAGCAGGCCAGGGGGGGAGTGATGAGGAATGTATTCATTTATTTCTTAGAATGTGTATGGTGCATTTTGAAATTAACTAGAATAATTTTTTGATGTGACATTAATATGATTTGCATTTTACAGGATTTAGAGGGAGCTCTGGGGTTGCTGTTGTAAGGTGTGAGGTAATTTGTTTGTATTGACACTTTCAGAGTGGGTAGAGATCAATCAGTGGAACGCTTTTTTTGGAGAATATTTTAAATGGAGTATAGCTGGACACTTTGCATAGAGGAGTTGCGGTCGAATTCAGCATTTTCAGGAACTGTGAACTGCCAAGTTTTACGAACACAGAGGCAAGTCAGACTACACTCTTGTGCTCTGAGCAGATGAACAATTCAGTATGACATTTCCTCTTGGAGGGAGGAACACCTTTTTGACGCTCTGTTTCCTTCTGCCTCTATCTGATGCTGCTGATGACACAGGTAAAGACTTATCCTTCAGGGGGTGTGGGGACACATGGGCCCCAAGACTCTTATGGTTTAAAGCTGCTGTGGTAACAGAGGGTAACCTGCCTAACATTGAACTGTTTTGCATGTTGGAGAGGATCACTGCTCCAAGATACTTTCTATTCCAAGACCAGTAGCAGTATGGCTCCTGACCAGTTTCCTTCATATAGATCCACTCACATAGATTCACACAAACACATACATACATTCACTTACTAACATACCCACACACATGGTTAAGGACTCGTAGGACACACAAGGTTCTCTCAATCGCTAAAATTCAAGGCTACAAAGTCTGACAAGGGAGTTTTAATGGGGGTAATCCGCGGCAAGCTGGTTTTTTTCGTAGAGATTAAAGAACTTTCAATGGAGAGAGAATAAGAATTAACTAAAAATGCAGTTATGAGATTAGAAGAAACTTAAACTTATTACGCTGTGATGTAAAAATAGTTTTAAAATGTTTCTTTAGGTTGTCGAAGAATTGAATTGAATAGGTTAAATGTTTTCTAAATATCTACAGGTTCCTTGAACGAGATTATATTAGTTGCAGTAATTTAAGCTAATATAAACAAAATAATGAGCTGAAACATCCATAGGATGTTCAGGCTGAATACATTCTGGTATAAATAACTTTCAACTGCCAGGCATTGAAAGGTAATAGACTCTGAAACAATCTGCTGAATAAACATACAGTCTACAGATCATTTAAATGTAATGAATTTAATGATGACTTTAGGGATAAAGTGAAAGTGACTGCACATAGATTTTGAGTAAATAAGGAATTATTCATTGAAGACACTGCTTATCCTGATAAGAAGATTAATTGTACTCTCTTGTGTGCTGGAGGATCCAGGAGGAATGGATTGCTGAACTGTGATGAAAACACCATGAGAACCACCACATGGTACATTTTGATGGCTGGTTTATCCATGATGAGCGGTCACATTTAGGAGGCTTCCAGGTGGGAGTGAGAGTAGATGAATTTGGCCAGATTAGGTTTATAGACTGAGGTTACCTAGTAGAAGGTAAATTAAAATAATGTGCGCATAGGAAACTAAAACAGTTTTCCTTTAATTAGATGAAACCCAAATTGTAGCTAAATACTGAAACTGTGTTCTTGAGTGAAAACATTTGGTCTGAAGTTTTGATTGTGGTTATCTTTGATCCCTGATTAATGCTACATCATCAGGGGACTGTTGATTGTTTATTCCATGATTCTATGATGTTGAAAGAAACAGCGTTTACAGTTTTCTTCTATGATTAATATCCTGGTCATGAGGTGACATTAATAGTTTTGTTTAAAGGTGACATTATTGAAAACATCACCTTTTCAGGGGGAATTGTTAGGATAATTATCATTGAAAATGTGTGAGTTTATCACACCCTGGTATGGGCTGCCTGTTGTGCGTCAGAACTGATGTTTTAATCTAATTAGGACAGTTTCTCTGTCCGGATATACAATTCTAATCTTCATTTTGTATGTGGCAAATATTTGGAAATGGAATAAGAGTGGTGTCCTATTTTGATAAGGCTGGAGCCATGGATGTTTAATCATCTGCTAAGGTGTATGATGTAAAATATGTTGATGTCCAGACTGGAGATGTACAAAATGCCTTTTTAACTGTTAATCGGGGCCACTTACTGAGAGGTGAGCCCAGAGGTGAGAAACTGCCATTCTGTAACCCTAAGCAACTTCTCTGATCTGAGTGAGATTACAATTTCTATCGAAATCTGTTGTCATGTCTCCTGCACTGCAAAAACAATCCAGAAAGAAGTAAAAAATGGCTTAAATTAAGTATATTTAGCCTTAATTTGAGCAGGTAAATAAGATGATTTGCCAATGGAATGAGTATTTTCACTCTTAAAATAAGATAGTTAGATAATATTTACTTGAAATAAGACGATAAAATAGTTTTTTCTTATTTTAAAAGGAAATTGTCTTGTTCCATTGGCAAAGTGTCTTACTTATCTCCTCAAATCAAGGAAAAACACACTTATTTTAAGAAAAAATAACTTATTGAGATTTATATTTTTTGCAGTGTGGTTATTTAATATATAAAAGTTATGAAGTGTTATTTAAAGAGTTTGTCCTGAGTGATCTTTTTTCAGGGAAAAGAACCGGAGAGATAGAGCATCAGGGTGCATAAACAGAGCCTATCTTTAACACAGGGAAAACAGAAAGCCGATTTGGTTTGTGGGTGTACAGTTTAGCTTCCACAAAAAAAAAAAAATCCTCTTGGTTCTACAAACAGCCACGAGGCGAAAAAAAGAAAAAGATCTGTACCTTTAGCTCTTCAGTCTTTGCTGGGTGAGAGACGTTCTCTGCACAGAATCGCCTAAAAGAAGCAGAGCGAGGGATTAAATATACATTATTTGCATTAAGAAAATGAAGTGAAATTAGCCATGCAGAGAGTATGCAGGGATGCATGTAAAATAACCACAGGTTTTCTGATACTCACAGTAATTTTACAAAAATGGGTATTAAAAAGTTGTTGATGTTGCCTTTGGTTTTTCTACTAACTACATGTTAGACACGTCATTAGTTTAAACACTACAGACTGGGACAAGTATATAAAGACGTTGCTTCAGTTCTCTGAACTGCTGGTTATCAGGTCAACCATCAAAATCATTTTGCATGCTTTTTAACCTTCAGCAATTAATTTATCCCATTTTTATTGTTTTTAATAGAATATTTGGTCAACATTTCTCAGTTTCACCTGTACAATGCCCAAGGCAAAACCCAAATGAACTTTAACACAGTTAACAAAAAAGCTACGGGAGTTATGACTGAATTTATATCTTTTATGAATGAAAAATATCGTATTTTTTGGACTTCTCTTTCCTATCTAATAAATTTTCACTATGCAAATGTTAAACAGATGCAGTTTTCCTTCATTTATTCCTGATAAAAATAATTAGTAAAAATTATGGATTATCCAACTCAAATAACATTCAGTTAATATCAATACACCAACAGTACAAACAAAAATTTCACCATATAGACTTCATTACAGAACCACAAACAAATCATCTTCTTCAGATCTATAAACCAAGAGTAAATTCAATGCATCAGCACTCATTATCATGCTATTGTCCTAATTATGTAGCAAAAGATCCTTCCGAGCCCAGAGATCTATTTTTTTTTTGTTAATTTAATAATATTTCCTAAAGCCCTTGATTTCTCAGAATCTCCTAAAGCGCTGGCATACACTGAACTTTCTGTGTACTTTTTAAATTTTGGGAGTATACATAGAGTATTCATAACGAATCCAGAGCGTATGTCTAATGACAGCCTTACTTATGCATAACGCATGGCAGCGCACTGCCCATGAAATGTCACAAGCCAGTGTCCAGAGGGGGGCAGCGATGCAGCCGGAGGCGCCTGGCCAGCATAAGAAGATTTATTTCATTGCAATATTAACCTAGATGCTTTTTATTGCCTGCTAAAAAAAAGAATAAATGAGCAAGTAAAAAGCAGATTGAGCATCATGTCTGCTAGAAAGTTTGTTGGTGGTGGGCCGATTTCCCCCTGTGAACCTCCTTTAAACCAAAACGCTGCCAATACGCCATTATACAGTAGCTGGAAGTTAGAAACACGTTCAGCGCTCGTCTGGAACACCTCAGATACGATTAGTTCTTGATAAGTTACGCAGAAGATATGCTTATGTTACTCATAGGTTTAGGATAATCTAGACACCATGACTTATGAGTAACTTACACTTAACGTATGTCAATGATCAGATAACTGACCTGTAACTTATGCCCCACGTATGAGCGAACGCTGGCATACATCTGGAAATACTCTGACAAGTACGTTGAGTAATTTGGAGCATACTCCAAATTACATATGGCAAGTACTTGCCATATGTAATTTGGAGCATACTCCAAATTACATATGGCAAGTACTTGCCATATGTAGAAGTGTTCCAGCATGTTTCAGCGTGCTCATAACTTATGCAACGTATGCCAGCGTTTTCGCCAGATTTTTTGTACGTCAATGTGTGACGGGGGCTTAAGCAGGAGTTGCAGATAGAAAAAGTCAGAATAGTAACACTACCAGACGTTAGACTATATGGTAAAGTCGAATAACATAGTTTGATCTGAATTATTTTTGCCTCTTTGTTTTTGTTTGAGGTCTCTTAATGCAGTGAACACCTCTCCCAATTTGCACTCTTGTCCTATCTGTCTCCACCAGATTGGTCAGTGGCACAGAAAGATTGACCTGAATAGTAGAGGACATCTCAATCCTCTTATTATCACTTAGATACCATCTCAGGAACTTAGAAGAGGACATATTAAGCTATAAATGTTACTCAGTGCTGCTTTAAAAAAAACAGCCACAAAGCATTTTTTCAGTCACCCATTGCATGGAAACAATGAAGTACGTGTCATCTGCTTCCTGTTAAATTGAGGAATAACAAGCTACTTTTTTCCCTGGTTCCATAGTGTTCTTTCAATCTATGATATCAATCTGCAGTTTAAGCTCTGTATCACCCACCAAAACCAAAACCAAAGCATTTTCTTTACTTCAGGTTGCACAAAAATGTTGATGGAAGCACCTTGACTGCCCAAAAGACCTGGAATCCTAAATTATTTTCCTTTTAATTCAAGTCCTTTTCAGGATAAATGAATTATTAAAGGTATCAACTTGCTATACATGTAAACATCCCTGGCCTCTTTTTAATAATTCTGATTGAGGAGAAGAATTTCATGGGATAAAGCTGTGAAAAAGTACAATTTACCACTGAACTAATATATTTAGTTGCAATGATGCATATTTTGCTTTATGCATCCTAATAAAACTGTGCAGTGCATTTTTCTGGCATAACAAGGTTCCACGTCTTCAAAACACTTCAATATCCTGTTTCATAAAAGCAAATATCAGGAAACAAAACACCAGAACCTTCTTTAGCTTTGTGTTGTAGTATAACATGGAAAGCAAAGTTCTCTTTAATAGCATAAAATGGGACAGAGTAAATTATAGCTGCACGTAACAAAACAGATTAGGGACAGAGGCAGACCTTCTTATTCGCATGTGGAGATATGCATACATTTTGCACACACGTCATGTACAGGCAGCAAACAGGCAGATGGAAATCTAGCCATTTGTGTGATGCGTTGTCATTAGCTTAAAAGGCCTAAAGCTGGAGTGAGACCAGAATAATTATTGTGATTATAGTCTTCAGTGGTTGAGTTTCATTCCAATATGTTACGCACGCTAGGATTAAAATCTGGTATTTCACGTGCTTTCCAAAAAAAGATGCTGGGACCAACTGGCCGGCTGGAACATCAGCACTAAAGGAAGGAACAGAGCTTTTTCTAGATACCATGGGGGCCCTAAGGAGGGAAACTGACACTGTATAGATGCTACATTCCAGATTAAATTAAGTAAATATTAAACCAGAGGCATGCAAAATAATCTTGATATATTAAATATTTTTTATGCACATTGGGTTTCATTCACAACATAATAATTTGGGATCTGTAAATATAAACCTGCTGTATATGTTTTATATTACTATAAAACCTCTGTTAGCATTAATACTTCAGGTAATATATTTACCAAGATTTGATCAAAAAGGCTGACTTAAATGTAAGCAATGCAACATGTTAATAATTGAGAACAAGAAGAGCAAATACTGAGGTCTAAGGAAAGGCTAAATTATAGCACTAAGACTGTAAACAGAAGGGCTAAAAAATTAATCAGATTAATCGATTATTGAGATAAATATCAACTAATTTAATAATCATTTAATCTGTAAATGGAGTTTAGACTGTAAAACATGCCTTTACCTGACAGAAAAACACCCACTATAAAAAAAGAAAGTATGTAAACATTTTATAACCTTTGGCTATCGATTAATTGAAAAAATAATCAACAGATTAATCGATTTTCTAAATAATGGTTGGTTGGAGCCCTGGTAAGCAGCCTTGATTTTTGTCAAACATAAAAGCCTGAAACAAACTGTCTTAGGTCACAAAACAAAAACACAAAGTTGTTTGTTGGAACTCTCCCTATATGGCAAATTGACAAGTAAATAAATAAAACACAGAATTGTGCTAAATGCTAAGCTAGCTCTATGTGCTGTTCTTTTGGAGCAACATAAAAGCAACTAAAGCTCCTGTTTCAGGAGTTCTATCAGACTGTCCTCACCACTTCCTGATTTTACTAGTTTATATTTTTTTAGGGGAGTGGTGGCCTAGTGGTTAGGGCATTGCCCTTGGAATTCTGAGTTCAAGTCCCACTGCCACTCTGGGTCCCTGAGCAAGACCTTCCCTGGGCGCCGCACAATGGCAGCCCACTGCTCCCCAAGTTAAATGCGAAGAGTTCATTTCATTGCTTTGTACTTCTGACTTCTTAATGTAATGACAACAAAGTTGAGTTCTATTCTGTATATTCCCTTTTAACTTCTTTTTAGCAGACAGGTCTTTTCATTTTCCATCTTCAGTCGACCATCACTCTGGGACTCGCTTCCTCCTCCCTCGCTACTTCTCGCCTCCTCTCTGACTCACTTCTGAGTTTAAAATAAAATCCAACACAGGGAACCAGGTGCAACATGCAGACATTCATTTTGAAGTTTGGCTACTCGTCTTTTGTTTTTCTGTCCTTAAGCTCTGATGAACAGCAGATTGAATACCACTACAGTACTTGTACAGTTCTTCAACTAGCCTGCAGTACTACAGCCTTGTTCTCTGCCAAGTAATCTCAAATGATTCTGTTAAATGAGCCTTAAGGATAAAGGATACAATTCAAGAATATTTGAATAGATAAATAAGCCCACATCCTTCCTTTGACTACTATCTACATTACTAAGGCTAATCAAAGGTTAGCTATTAATATTTAGTAATAAAAATAATCTTTATATATGTATATATATGGCTCATTCTTAGCGAAGTACACTAAGAATGAGCCACCCGGATCTACAGCACAGACATCGGAAGTCATTCGGACTAGAGAAGTGTGGTCAGATGGTGACTAAGAGAGGGAAGGTAGTCCACACCTCAGAAGGAAAAATAGCAGACATCGAGGACAGTTACAGGTACCTCAACATCCCACAAGCAAATGTTCTATCCAGAACAAAATTTCATCATTCTGCTTCATTCTCTCTCTATTCTCCCACTTTGCAGAATCTGTTAGTTCAATTTCTAACGTTCTGCTCTCTCTGCTTTTCTAAGAGTAACTTTCCCTCGTCTGTTCCTGTTTGGCTGTGACTCCATCCTGGAGAGAAACATCAGCTGTGCTGCTTCCATCAACACCCTTGTTTATAGATGCTGGAGATCAGCCTGTTTTCCAGTGTAGTCCTGTTTCTCTGACCGTGACTGAGTGGATGTGCTC